CAAAACCTAGGGTTGGGGGTTTAGGGAAATGCCTGGCCCACAATCTCGAAGCTTGAAGTATAGACGCCCTCACACCCCCAACCTCTCTACGGCCCTGCCGTCAACAAACCGCCAGAAAGTTTAAAGTTTCGGGTTTAGGGTGTTAGGGTTTAGGGTGCTTTTTTTGAGCTTACAGTAGGGGTTTTGGGGGGTCGGTTGGGTTAAGGGTCGCGAAACTCATGTATTCCCCCAACCATGTGCTGTAAAGCCTGTGTTGCAGAAAGGCAGAGCGAATCCTAACTTGGAGCCTTGCATGCACGAGGTCTAGGCCGTAATGCCCTACTATACCCCAAACCCTTTTAGCCTTGTAGCTTCTTCTCTAACACTGACCCTTGAAGCAACCTTCACACAACTACCCTAAACACTGAAAGAAGACTTACCCCCCCCACCACCACCACCCCAAAAACATAAAAATAATAAATAAATAAGTTAAAAATAAATAAATAAATGTATATATATATATATACATATATATATATATGTATATACAAGAAATCGCCGGCCCGAGTGGCAGGCCGCCAACAAGACCATTGGCCAAGGCGGCTTCCAGGAAGTGGAGCAGCTTTCTGGGCCGCATTTCAGGTCACAAATCTTGGCGGTTGGGGGGGTTTCTGGTCCCTGAACCCTAACCCTCTAAACCCCTAAACTCTAAACTACAGTCGCGTGCAATGTCAAGCGCATCATCTTTTAGGCAAGGCTAAGTGTTTCAAGCCTTGAAGCCTCGAGGGCTAAGTTCAAGAGATCTGCAATGGTTCTATAAGGGTACTATATCGATGCTTCGGGCTTTTGTAAGGGTTTTCTACGGTCATATAAGGGTTCTGTATTATGACTATGAGGGTTCTTTCGAATATTTCGGCTCATGAGATCAGGATGGCGATGTTCAAGGACACCGTCTGCTACCAGGAGGAGGTCCGATTTTGGTATGCTGGGTTTGAACTTACGGTTTAAGGCTTTGGGTTTTGGGTTTTGGGTTTTGGGTTTTGGAAGTTTCAGGCGTAGGGCTTGGGGTACATGGAGCCATGCAGAGGCGCGGTGGGTGCTTCGGGTAGAGAGGAGGAGATGTCGCACCGAAAGACCTCCGGCCCAAACGCTGGTCTTAGGGGATTTGTCCTTTCCCAAATATTTATTTGTTAGGGTTTAGGTTTAGGGGATGCCGATCTTTGTATTTTCAAGATCTCACAGATAGAATGGAGTCGTGAAGGCTGTGTGTCGGAAGGGTTCAGGGCTTCGTGGTTAAGTTGCAGGGTCGAACGACCAGGGCAACGTTATCTTTGAAGCCGACATACGCCTGGAACCTAAATCCTTTATCCTCCACCCTATCAATACTCCAACTCGAATTCCTAGGCTCAAAGCCTTTATTCCGAAACTCTGCACCTAAAAACGAAACACGAAACTCTAGACTCTCAGCCTTCAAAAGCTTGAGCCCCACATTGTTGCCATAAAGGCTCGTGGGACGGTAGCTTGGCTGTGTCTGCCTATTGCTCATACGGAGCCGCTTTAGGGTTTAGGTTTATTCGAACAGCGGAGCCATCGGCTTATTGAAGGGATCATGCGACTCAGTAGCTAGGGTTATAACTATGGCAACTACAAGCGCAATTGCTGATAGCCCCAATTAAAGTACCTCTAAGCCCTACTTACCACGTCCCCTGGCCCTCCAAGTAGTCTGTCTAATGATTTAATGGCTGGTGAAGACTCTTTACACATGCTAAACCTGCCTAGACAAACCCATGAGATTGTTGACCATAACGATGAAGTTTTAATTAATTTGGTTATGATTTTGGTAAACCCATAGGCTTGTTGACCATAATGATGAAGTTTCAATTTGGTATGATCTTGGTTGGGGGATGTCTGTTTCAAACCCAGACTCTCGTGGGGCTTCACAGCAGTAGGGATCGAAGGCTGGAAGCTCCGAAGTTGCCGCAGACAGGATTTCGACCATTCTGCAAAGGCTAGCCAATCTAAGACCCTAAACCTTACACCCTACCAGGACCCCCCAATGGCCTTCAATAGAGCCCTTATGGTCCTTAATAGCGGGTATTTGGGGCTATAATAGAGGGTAGTTGGGGGGTCTAGGTACACTCTAGAAGCCTTACACTCCAAAGCCCCTACAAGGAGGATTCTGAACCCTAAACCCTAAACCCTAAATCCTAACCCCTAAACCCCTAAATCCCGAACCCTAAACCCTAAACCCCGGGTTCCCGCGGGCAGCTTCTCCCTTTGATTCAGACAGCAGGTCCGCGATCCGACGCGCATCTGTGAAGTCCTGAACCGGGTCATCGAGAAGGCAGGGGTTTAGGGTTTACCTGTAGTCCCCATTGTAGTTATTTTTTTTGGTTTAACCAAGTTTATAATTAGGATCCTATAAGGTAACCCCAAAAAGGAACTACAATAGAGACTATAGCTAGGGTTTAGGGTTTAGGAGGAACCCCGAACCTGATATGAACCTTTGAACCGTCCTACCTATGGCACACTGCAGTTTCTAGCATCCACCAGAACGCAAGGTTTTTGCAAGCGCTCGCATGCAAGTGGCTGCCAGGGTGATGCATGCACATGTTGTCGCACGAATAGGCTATGCTACATTCATGCTCAGATTTAAGTGGAGCCGACATTGACTTGTTCAAAGACTTGTTGGCGGCATTGCATTGTTTCAGGCACTTACCATTTCATGTGGTTCGGTTTCGGTAATGATATGTGTGAGAACTGTGAGAACAGTTATATACGTATTTACATATGTTTGCATGTTTCTATACTTTTCCTTTCCATTCATGTCCTACGGTTGTGCATGAAAGGACAACGATAATTTATTGTCATGCTTCAAGCCGTAATTTTGGCCTGTCCATATCGCCACTATAAATGTGATGTTGACTCTGTGTCGGTATAAACCTCTTTGGTCCGACTTCCACCCTTATCGTTCTTATTCGGTCTTCGGTCTCAATATCTTAACTTCCTTTGTTTCTCGGCTTCCTCGATTCTTTGGGTGTGAAATCTGTAGCAGGATGCTTCATTTGACTATTTTATGTCGAGGCCAAAAGATAGAGAATACACTCCGATAGTTTTTCCGATCAGGATCTACGGAACATTATAAAGGAGGAGGAGGAGCAGGATTTTTTCTTGTTCAAAACACTCATTGTAAGCACCGCCAAGAACATAGTTATTGACGATTAAAAGCATGATGGTGGGCTTAGTTTCAGCAAACGACAGACGTATAAATGGCTTCCAATTCGGATTACCTGATTCGGCGGCTTATGTTACTGATAAAGTTGCTGATTTAGACACTCTTCCCAAGTGCCTCTGGCAAACGCTTCGTACAGTAGCAATGGAAACAGGCATATAAAATTTGCGATCATTGCAAAAGACCACAAGTAATTAATTGTACTGTGTCTGTTTGTTTCTTGATATTATCAATCCGTGCACTGCTGCAGGTCAGAGTTTGATTCCTTCAAGTGAGACTCATGTAATTGTTTTAGATACAGACGCAACGTGGCAGCAACAAATTCATGACATTGTGACAATCACTTACATTCAAGTATGCAAGGAAATGGAATCTTGAGCCGTGAGAGAGGTAGTATATAAGGTTGGGCCATATTCAATAAGGTTGTCTGATACGGTATGACAGTAGAACCAACATAATTTGTGTTGGGGCAATTGAATTGACAGAACTATTTTTTGCAGAAGTTAACCCGAGCGCACACAACAGGACTTGAAGATTTGGACGAAGTAGGCTTGTAGGAGCGGGCACAGGCCTTGTGGTGGGTTCGTCCGAAGTCTATTAATGTGGAATTGGTTTCCAAAGTGTCGTGACAGAGCTCGACATAGAAAGATGACAGTTTTCGTGATTGTTGCTTCTGTTTGTGTCCACATGCACAGCATACTTTTGTGGAAATGCTTACTTCGTTCATAACAACCTTTATCAGAAGTAGTGGATTATGAAAATATGTCCTTCTAACATGAAAGTATATGTTGCTTACATAACAATGCCTTTTAATCGGGATGACTATGATCCCACGAATTGTAGAGAACATGACATGTCAAAAGCGGAATAATTTTGGGGATACAAGACGATTTCATGATGCGAACCAGGATAAGAAGTATTTAATGCAATGTCGATAAGTACAAGAGTTTACCGGCTTGAAGCGGCATGTTCTGGCTACAACCCGAGGACCTACACCTCGTATAACCTATGAGAGAACCTTGCCCATTTCGGGATGATGATACCATTTTGGGGACTATGGATATGGTAACCGGTTTGAGAAGTGGTGAAGATATTTGGGGAGATGTAGGGGCGAGTAAGGAATAATTGGTTCAGAGGTGGACTAGTGATTGAGGGGTGCTATTATCATCCGAAAGTGGTATAGGCTCCTTTAAGTGCAGAAACTCATCCTACCCCACGCCGTATTATAGTAGGCTTCCGACATCGAAGCCCAGGTATAGCATACCAAAATCTGAATGCGAAATATCCTCGAACAAACTGGCTTACCCCCACAGTCGCATCCTCGTGCTGTTTCGGCTCTTACAGTAATTTTACAAAGTTCAGGGAGCAATCACGGAAGCCTCCACATCGCGCGAGGCCTACCACTGCTCTGCCCCGGCGCAGATCAACATCCCGCGAGATTTCTGGACACAGGCCAGCAGTCTAGGCCTTAAGGGCGAGCAGAAGCGACCCAACTATCCGGCAACGGTCTCGGATGGAGTGTTGGGGTGTGGTTTAACCGCGTCTAAAGTTTGTGGGTTCGCGTGCAAGCTTTTGTGATGGTCCGAAGGTTTGACGGCTTCCGCCGCTGTTCTCCAAGCCAACGCTAGGTTATAGTTCATCCAGAGCCGAAGTCCGAAATCATAATCCCTGAAACTCCATCAGTGCAAGCGCATGCCTTTGCTAGTTTTACTCTCGAGGTTCCTACGGCTCAATGGAACTTGAGGGGTTGTGGAAAAACCCTGAACCCTGAACCCTAAACACGCAGCAGGTGGTGGACATGTCGCTCCCCACAGGCGTGAAGTTGGCTCCTTGTTTGCAAGCGGGACGATCTGCCGAGACTCAGATCTCGGATTGAGGGTAAGAGCCCTTTGCTAGGGTTTAGGGTTTAGGGTTTTTGAGGGTTTAGGGTTTAGGGTTTAGGGTTTTTGAGGGTTGGTTCTTAAAGTGAGGGTCCTGCCATACGGAGGTCCAATTAGAAAGCGTTCCCGGCGTCCCTGAACCCTTGAACCTCTACCCCTATATTATCCGAAACCCAACAGCCTTACACCCTGATGTGTTACGGTTCTACATACGAAGGTTTATTTCAGAGCCCAGTCTCGAACCATTACCATCTGCTCAGAACTTGTGCGTAAGGGCAGACGGAGATGTTCTGAATCAGGGGCGGTTCAAACTTGCCGGAGGGATGCGTCTGTTTCTCTGCTTGTTCGCGAGGGTTCGGGTTAGTGTTTTTTCCTTCTACCAGCTACGTACTCGTGCTACTGCACCTACTTCTACAATCATGACCACGAGTTCACAAGGCTAAGCAGGGGCCCCGCAAAGTGTTGGCAAACCCACATGGAAGCTTAGAGTTAGTTGGGTGTGGGATGCTTCAGTCGCAACCAGGAGCCCCTCTATGCCACCCCTTCCTCAAGCAGGGTTTAGGGTTTAGGGTTTAGGGTTTAGGGTTTAGGGTTTAGGGTTTAGGGTAATATGACTTAAGCTTTTTTGTTGCATAGGCTTTGGGGTTAGCTTCCGGGTTGAAGCCCCAAGCCCGGCAGCTAAACCCCAAACCCGGAAGTTTAAACCCCAGACCCTGAAGCTAAATCCAAAACCCTGTTAAACCCCAGACCCTCAAGCCTACCCTAAACCCTAAACCCCTAAACCCTAAAACCCTAAACCCTAAACCCCTAAACCCCCTAAACCCTAAACCCTAAACCCGAGAAGAGCCCCCCTGGGATCCTCAAGCTGGCAAAAGAGCTCGAGG